AAGAAACCATCTTGTTGCAATGAATCTAACTGCTTTAAGGATGTCAGAACTGTTGAAATCTATAAATAGAAAAGTATATTTTTTTAATAGAGAGAAGGAAACTGCCAGTTTGGAGGGGAAAAAAGAAATTGGAAAGATTTAACAAGAAGGAAGCGCTGAGGTTGCACCTGCGCGAGAAGCTGAGCTGACTACACAGTCAGCATCAATCATGGCCAGCCCCGGATAACCCTTAATGCTAAGCAAACAAAAAGTAGTTAGATCACCTATCTGCATACTTTGGCACGATTCTGTCATGGCATTGAACTGATTTTCATGGAAAAAAAAACTATTATCTTTGCTTTTAGGCAAAATGAGTTTATGATGATTCTGGTGTTACTGCAAGTATAAGAAAAGTTGAAAATGACCAACCTCTTAAAAGCCAAATATGACTTATGATCACTTCTTTTCCTTATTTTCTTCACCTGTTTTAGAGTGTGTGTGTGTGTGTGTGTGTGTATACATACACACACATTTAAATACATTAAAATATACAAAGCAGGCTTTATAACTGCAATAAGCTACAAACACAGTGTAACCTTAGTAACATCACTATGTAACTGGGGCTGAGGCAAAAGAGAGCGAAGACAGCTTCCACCACAGAGGTGGGAAAAGGAAGCTGCCTGGTGACCTGGATCCCAAGGTGCATGAAGAGAAGTTGAGGGGATTGAAGGTGTTTGCTTTGGTGACAAAGAGGCTGCAAAGTGACTGCCACCCGCTGTCCCTTCGAGTCAGTGTTTTCACAATTCTGCGATCTGGCTGAGTTTGGCAGAGGGCTTGGTAAGCAGCACGGTCATATGTATGGGGGAATGGCATTGTACCAAGAAAGCAAGGAGCAAAACATCTTTTCCAATATATGCCTTAAAATGACACTTGTAACTCTTTATTAGCCTTTGTACAGAATTATCTTTACCTTAGCCATTATGTAAATAAAATATTGTCATGAAGAGAAGCCTAAATTAGGATGAGGAGGCAGTCATGCTGAACAAGAATTACAAAAGTATGGCAGAAACTGGCAGTCTTGATACTCTGGAGGAAATAAGCAATTTTAGATGGGATAAATTTTTAAAATGTTTTTATTTTATCTGATGTTATTTGGAAATAAAATTATGGCAGCAGATATAATCTTTCATAACAGTGAGCTGAATAATCTCATGGTGTGAAGATTTAAAGATCTTAATAACTAGTAATTTTTGTTTGCACTAAAGCTGGTAGGTACATGAGTGTTAATAAAAAAAAATACTGTCATGTGGAAGAAATACTCTAAAACATCTTAGACAATTTCTTGTCTTTACTCGTATTTAGATTTTTCAACAAACAGGATGTTTTTACACATTTAACGACAAGTTACTAGTAAGCTATGAAACCTTGCTAATTTTAGTAAGCTTTCTGAAGTGATGAATTTAGTGCTGTATCTTTGAAAAACACTGTGATTCTTACCATAGGAGAGGATTTCATGGGTGATTGCTTTTCTTTTTTTAGGATTGGTTGATTCAGAGTGATTTATTTAGTCTACTGAAATCCAGAAGGAACGTCTACTGGTTTACGTAATCAATTTTAATCACATTTTGCTTTTATATGTTTAGAAAAATTTCCAAGAAAGTATATATTCACTAGTTGCTATAAATGTTGCAGCTGTGTTGCAGCAAAATTATACTGTTTTGTTAAAGGTGGCAAAAACCTGATTTTTAATAAGAGGTAGAATAAAGCTTTAATAAAGTTTTAGTAAAGCTAGATTTTAATTCTACCCCCTAATTATAAATCAGAAAACTTGTTTTTGATAAAAACATGTGCATATTCCTCCTAACATTACCACCATTTATAGAAAAGGGGGAAAATAAAGGTCAACACACTCTTTTTTTCAGAGAGAAATAGACATCTGATTGGATGTATGTCATATATTTGGATTAAAAAATGATAAATTGACAACCTGTAACTGAAATGAAATGGCTTTTGCCTGTTATGCTTGTTCCTCATGGTAAAATAAATGGAAATCTGGCCTCACTTGAGTTGAAAAATGCATCTATTTTTTATTTTCAAATTACAGCACCTGATGATCCAGTGAGGCGAGGCCTGGTGACAGCAAGTGGCTTTTGGAGAAGCAAGGAAAGAAAACTTGCAAAACACAGAAACAAAGGTAACGGAGTGGTGGTGCTGGGCCTGGGGAAAACACAAGGGATAGGCCTGACAAAGCCCCGATGAAAACTTAGGCCTAAAAAAATCTCTCCTTCATAGGGAACAGTGCAGCGTAGCATAGAGTTGGCTGAAATGTAGGTTAATTGGATTTGTGTTCACAGATTCTTTTTCATGTGTAACAAAGTAAACTAGTAATAAACTCCCTTAATAAACTTACTGTGTATAAGATTAAAGTTACAGAGACAATTTTATTTTGTGATGGTTTCTTAATAATTTGAATCCTACCAGAAACTGAATACCCTCTTGGACATACACCAAGATGTTAAATAAGACCACAGTAAATATTATAGTATGTTTATTTTACATATTGTGTGGGAGTTTTTCCCTCCAGCTATCAGGAGTCCTTAAAGCCTTACCTGTGTTGACATGGTTTTTACCTGGTCCAAGGAAGTTTTCTTGAGAGGTTAGGAAAAGTGCTATTTTGGTTACATCTGTGATGCCAAAGATTTTAAAAAGGAAGAAACAAACAAGACAACACCCTAACCGACCACACCTAAAAGCCTTCTATCGACCCCATCAGTCTATATTTCCATGTATTTTTTATAGCTAGCTGAATATCTAACATTTAATTTTTGGAGTGAAACTTAAATCTAAGTTGTAGGTGGGACTTTTGTTTCAAATTTTTTTGTTATGTTTTTTCCTACGTTACTTTTATATTTCTCGTATAGCAGTAATAGAATTATCACGAAGCACTAGCCCATACAATTGTGTACATCTGTTACCCAAAAGAAATCTAGAAAGAAAGCAGGCCTTTAGGAGGTATTACTTACGTCAACATATGAGAAGTTCTGTGTCAACATGTGCAACACAGAACGTTTATGCATACAGCTCGTTGTACTGCCAGTGGCCTCAGAGACTGCTGAGCTGTGTCCTTTCTGGTAGACAGCTCTGTTTAGTGCAGGCTGAACCACACGAGTAAGGTTGGTATCATCTGTGCTTTTGTGATACGAAGCTTCAGGCAAATCTATTCTAATAACACTGTGTGGTGCAAACTTCTTCCATTGACAGAGCTGTTATAAAAATCCCCAAGGCTGCTCAACTTTGGAGAATGCCTAAATAGCAGCGTACCAGTGGTGAATCTTGCTCCAAAAGCAGTAACAGAAATTATGGACAAAAATTCTCTAGAAGACCTATTCAGCAGTTTGCTGCCCTTTATACTTCCAGAAACATGTTCTGTTGAGTGGTAGTGGTTTTTTTTTTTTTTTTTTTAAAGCACTTTCTTAAAAGCTAGACTAATAGCTGTAAATCTGAGGTCTTCAGCGTGATAGACTTAATGCTCTATCCATACAGTCTTCTATTACATTTGAAGAAATAGCAAAAGTTGGGAGGGGGACTGGTTAAAAAAGAATGTCCACATTACCTCACAGAACTAACTGTGATTTGCCTGTGTAATAATGTAGCTAACCTGTGCCTTAAACCTCAAAAGCTGTGAAAATGCAAATTTTCTATCTGTTGCCAAGTGTGCAGTTTACTCACTAAATGGGCCTATCACTGCAAGTAATAAGCTTTGCATCACTGCTTCAGTTGGAGCCAATATAGGTTGCAGCACAAAAGAACGGGCATATAGATGCAAATTAGAATCCAATATCCTTTGTAGCTTTTTATATTTGCTTAATTGAACAGCAGTGACTTCATGTTAGCACTGATACCATAAATAAGCATTAGAGAAAAAGGTACAAAAAAGTGGACAAAGTGCTGTCCACTCTCTAAATGCTTAATCAATGCAAGTTAGGTACTTTATTGTTGTGGGGTTGTTTTTTGTTTTAGGGGTAACAATTTTAATCTTCAAGTAGGAGGTGGTCCACTAGGTTTGTTTTTAGTACAATGGCAAAATTTATATAAAGACTATGTTCCTGTAGACAGACTACATGTACTGTAATAATATTTTTAATGCATCTGTAAATGAAGATTTTTAAAGGAAATCACTAACATATCTACAGCTGTAAGCTGTAAGATGAATTTTGCTTTTGGAGCTTTTAGAGGGATATCACAATCTACTTGTAATGTAAGTAAATATCTATCTATAAAAGTGAAATTTTGTTTTAACTCGCATAAAATTCTAACGCTTTGACTCCATGGCATGAAACCTCCCTTTGGGACACTGACCAGAGTCGCTCTGGCTCAGGGTCTGTCACTGCTCTGGCTTTTGTACGAGGATGCTGTGGAGTAACACACGCGCCTAGCTTGATTTGTGGAGAGGTACATACAGTCAGCACAGTCCTTGGCTTAACACAACATACCAACCTAACAACAGAGAAAAGGTTCTTTTGATCAGAACTGGCAACGTCTGCTAACCACCAGCATAAGAACAGAACCGCAGTTGGTGCCATTTTTAATAATTAGAAATAATACATTATAAAACAAAAAGTGAAAAAAATTCAATGTAATACTTATAAAGAAAGAACAAATAGAAAATAAAAAGCTTTTTTTTGCCTGATTTATAGTATTCATAATACAATTGATCATTAGTCTGAGGTAATACCAGTATGAACTTTAGTCCTTCAAGGATAACGTAAAATTAAGAACAGCAATCGTAATGCATGTTGTGCCTTTTAACACAACATGACTTGATTATTAAGTCAGTCCAATCTTTTAACCTTTTTAGTTATGGATCTGTGGCTGCAAATATAAAATTGGAAATAAATCTATACAGTAGGAAGTACAGAACATGAGCGTCCTGCATGGCACATCGTTAGCCCCTACCAGTACTTAAAATACTGTTGGTTCTGTAAAAATCATACAAAAGACTTTGTTCCAGAACAGCCCTTGAAAAAAAAATTGGAATACTGTTAATTTGCATAAAAGAGCTAAAAAGATAAATTCATAAGTCCAAATTTTAGCATGAGGTAAAACCATGTGCATTTATTTCATCTGCATTTTAGAATTACTAAGCATAAAATTAAATACGTTGACTGTAATGAATTCAGTCATACAAGTGCAAGTCTTCAGCTATAATGTATTTTATGGCAGTTTATTTAAAAAATGTACCAGTAAATCATAAAAGAGGGATCATGTCCATTTAACTTTTATTGAAGTATACAGGAGGTTTTCTTTAGAATCAAATATGAGCATGAATATATGGCCAAACGTAAAATCTATCAAATTCAGTGAAAATTTTCTGACTTTAAATAGGAGCTGTAAGAATGACCAATATATATTCTTTGTTACAACCGTCCTCACTCTACAAGTAAAAAAAAATAATAAACATTCAGTAAACATTCTTTCCTAAGGTAGTTTCCCTTATATATCAGTGATTTATCCATTTCTTGTATACATAACTTTTTAAACATACCAATCAGTGGTTCTCACAATTGAAAAATAAAAGCACAAAAAAGTTTACACTCTTGTACAGGTAAATAAAAGATCATTTTGAATTAAACTGTATATCCTTAAGGGCATAGTATAGTTTCAATTTCATTACCTATTACATAATTAGCTTCTTACATACAAATATTGACATATTTGGCTTGTGCTTCAAAGCCTTTGCGTCTAGAAAGTCCATGTCAATGCAGCTCATAACTTGAAATCACTTGGGATATCTTTACTGCTGCTTGGTTTAACCTGTTCGTGCAACATAGTCTCTTCTGAGCTTGTTGTGGCACCGCACTTTTCTGCGGAGTCATCAGTATCTGGATCCAATCCTTCAGGACAGGGAAGTTTTAGGAGCTCTTCCCGCAGTTGAGCTGTATGACGCTGAATATGTAAAAAAAAAAGTCAGTATGCAAGACGGTAGTTAAAAATTACTTTTCACAATATTGAAGAAAATAAGGCAAGAAAAGGTTAAAAAAAATATTTCAATGACTGGATAAGCTTCTTCCAAAGTCCTGTGTATTTTAGGGTTGGTACTTTGGAGTAATTAGCAGCTGCTACTGGGAACAAATGAGAGGTCATAAGCAGAATGGCAGCAAACAGGTGTATCGCTATAAATATTGTCCTTTATGTCTTGCAGTTGAGTCACATCAGATATGTGTTCTGCAATTGCAACACAAAGCTGGCCCGGACAGGGCAAGTCAGAGAACTTCAAATTAATAAGGATATGTGGTCATAATGAGATCTGTTGCAGAGACAGATGTATGGAGCTTTATATACTGATCATTGTAACTAACAGGAATCACTTTGGAAGACTGCAGGTTTAGCAATAGGAAAAAAGAGAGAGACTTAAAAGATGATTTACTTCCCCAAAACAAAATCAAAAGTCCACTTTTAATTACATGAGAAATACATCATAGAGGACTGCTGTCTGTATGGACATGAAAAGCACCAATGACAGTATCAGCTCTAGAAGGGAAAAAAGCATTACAATCATTGTATTGACAAAAGTTTTTAAAACACAGACTAAAGATGATGTCATGGGCCATGCTTCTCTAACAACTTCTGCATTCACGCAGCTTGTTTTCTGGCATGGAATTGAGCACTACTTGTAATGAAGGCTGGTTGTAGCTCAAAAAACAACTTTCTAAGAAGAAAAGATAAGCTCTTAAGTATGTTTTGAAAAAATAGGCAGGAAAGGAATTACTTAAGAGAAAATCTTAGAAGGAAATATTGAAAAAGTAGCCTTCGCATTACAGTTGATCTCTTGGTAGTTGTGATACCTTCATTTGTTTCAAAGTTTTAATGTTGCTGTGTTTTATTATTATAAAATTCAGCCACTAATTTCTCTGCACTTTTGTCATCTTTGTGCTGTTATTGAATGTAAAATTATAAAAGCAAGTCTCACCTTAAGAGCTGCAGCATGATGAGACATCGTCCTGCCTACCCGTTTGTCACTGCTGTACTGCTGTATGTCTGCTATCCACTCCTCACACTGAGCCATGATCTCCACTCGTTTCAAGTAAAAATGTTTGTGGATAACCTATATGAAAATAATCAGAATGAAAGAAGAGCACATTGGTTGTTTTCTAAGAACTAAATAATACTAAATAATTTTAAATCTGCAAGTTTTAACCTAGTCATATAAGTCCCATTGGAAATAAGAGGGAAGTAACTCAGCCTTAGAACATGGAGAAAATCAAACTAACAACCAACTGTGGAGCTTCTGTCTTTGAAGGTTTCCAAGACGCTGGTGGAAAACCCCTGAGTACCAGGGTAGGAAGTTGGGGCTGTCCCTGTGCTAAGCAGGACGCTGGGCCTAGGTGACATCTCTAGCTCCCTTCCCTGCTGTGCACAGCTGTGATTTTGGGAGTCTGCCACCTTCACTTCTGCAACCTGCGTGAGGTGCAGGTAAGTGCAATAAATAGAGTATCACAGCAGGCAAAAGATGCAGCAGAGGGCTCAACAAATTCCAGTTGAAAGATAATGTTATATGCAGGATGATCTTACTGCTTCTACACACCTCTGTCCATACAGAGGGAGGCTTACAGAGCCTCCTCATAAAGGATTTCATGTGTTGGGTTCACAGTCAGACTTGAGTAAGGAAACAGAGGTAGAGAGGGAAGTAGCTTAAGCACCAGGTCTTCTTCCATCACTAACTACTTGCTGCCTGAACAAGAATGTCCATACAGAGGGAGGCTTACAGAGACACAACATAAAGGATTTCATGTGTTGGGTTCACAGTCAGACTTGAGTAAGGAAACAGAGGTAGAGAGGGAAGTAGCTTAAGCACCAGGTCTTCTTCCATCACTAACTACTTGCTGCCTGAACAAGAACTAGGAGGGCAGAAACCCTGTCAGCTACACAAGGATAGAAAAACAACATGCTACCTGCTTCTACAAGGAGGAGAAAAAACAAAAAAATAATTACCAGCTGCTGTGAAAGGGGTACAACCACAGTTACATCTCCTGTGCAGACACACAACCTTTGTGGACTTAGAAATCCCAGACAATAATACTTGAGCTGCCCCCAGGCTCAGTGGGAACCAGTATTTAATCACATACTAGTTTTGGTATTTCTTTACAGATTTGAGGTTTTTTTCATTCTTTTCTTTTTTTTTTCTTTTTTTTTTTTAAACTCCTTCTCATACAAAAAATGTGAATCTCTACTGAGTTCTGGCTTTATCTTGAACAAACGACCAAAACTCTGCCTGGTGGAAGAAACAATAAAATTCAAGACATTTTATTGAGCACAGACAGTTCTTGGCAATATTGCAACGTAGCTGACAAAAATAATCCCTCTCAGGAGGTTAGAGACTTTAGCTAGCTGCCTAAACTGCAGAAAAACTGCATACTGAAAGCATAACAGACTTCAATTGTGGATGCATTTCTCGGATTAACAATAAAACTTGAGACCTTCCCAAGACAACTGACTGGCAGTGAGTCTACTTGTCCTTTAAGACTCTGAAGGGAAGCCAGCACAGACTGGTGAAGAAAAAGGCTGCTGTAAGTAGAAGGATGTAAATTCTTTCTTGGATCTGAGTTCCCAGGGTGCCTTAGCTTCTTTATTACTGAAGTACCACCCAGCCGTCAGGACTCCTAACCTAACTCCTCTATGAAAACCCGAGAGATCTCACTAACAAGCCAGTTTCTCAGAGAGGTGCTGGATAATTTACTTAAGAGCCACGTTTTCCCTTTGATGATAACACAATCTTCCACAATACAGCTGTTTCATGAGAGAAATCTATAACTGCTTTGATCATTTAGAAGCAAACACTGAGGAGGTCTAACAGCTTGAATAGTATAGACTGAGCTAGTTATTGAATGTGCCAACAGCCTTAACTCCCAATTGCCAACAGCCTAAAGATTACACTAGGAAATTTTTAATGCTGAAAATAATACTGTATTTTTGATAAAGATGGCTGTCAGGACAAAAGAAATACCTTTCCTGGTAGAGGAAAAAAAAAAAAAACCTTAGCATTGTATGCGATTAGTATTATCTTCCTTATAAAGGCAGAGAATTGGTATCTGTCCAGAAATGAGTTATAGTTCAGTGAAAATAGGCAGAAATGTGAAATTCGGTGAAAATTTATTTATTCTTGGTGTGTGGCCTAACTTTACTCAGTCCTAGCTACTAATATCTTTTATAGGCAACAATTTTAATAGTTTTCAACATCTGTCTTTTTGTAATTACGTGCTATGCACAAGTAACGTTCTCAGGGAAAGACTTTTTTCACTGAAACAAAATCATTTAGATACACTTTATTACTTGACTTTCCTACAGAGAGGAAGGATGTGAGCTTGCAAAGTGCCTCCTCTACAGCAAGACTAAATAAAAGCCAAGCTACAGAGTTAGCACATAAAAGTGCTGAGATGCTTTGGAAGGAAAGGGCAAAACCAGTGAGGTGAACTAGAACTCATACGTTTACAAAATCCTGTAATATTGCATATCCTTCATTTCTATCTGTCTCAAGAGAGAGATCAAATATTACTGTCAGGGAGCTTACCACCTTCCAATAATTTCATCAAATATTATTGTAATTTGAGAACTCTCTTAGCAAGAGTGAAATTGTTACATTTACCTGGGGGGGGAAAAAAAACGGATCTCTTGTAGAGGACATTTGATTGTTATGACATTATCTATATCAAGATCTTGAAATTATTCAGTAAAGAATTTCAGAGCTAGAATGGATTTTTTCATTAATTCAAAACTACAGTATATAGCACATCCTTTTCCCTCTGCACATGGATATAAATATTTAACTCCTGTCATGCAGGTTAAAGTGTCTGATGATTTCTTCTTCCATAAGGCACTCCTAAATTTTAATGGGAAAAGCTTTTTGCATTCCAAAGGACAGACAGCAAGATTAGTCAACAATGTGAGTAATCTTAAAACAACCTACATTTCTGCAACATTTTTATATACAAGTAATTGGAAGCTAAGAGATAGTTCTACTCCTCAGTTCAGAAGTGGCAGCTGTTCAGTAGTTCAGAAGAAAACCTGTTTCCCCAAACATCTGCTGGTAGTACCATGAGATGACTCACGTTTGACCAGCCATTTTGCGTTTATATTCACACAAATTCTCTCATTTCAGTTCAAAACCCAGACAACGTGACCTGACTTGAGAAAAGGATTAGACTAAATGACATCAGGAGAACTCCCTTCCACCTAAATTATTCTACAGTAAATTTTAGTTGCTTTTCAAGAATGCACAAAAAAAAAAAAAAAAAAGAAGCAGTATGATCTCTTATCTCTCTCTCCTTTTTTTAAATCACTATGAAACCACTAAGGTTAGTATTGTTTTATCAGCATCAAGATAGCTAATCTGTTTTATAAAGAAACAGGTTTCTAGCTTAGCACAGACGCATTATGTATTTTTCCACAAATAATGTGCAGGCTGGAATCTGTTTTAAGATTGTCAATTGACTGATTTAAGATTGTCAGTTTGATTTAAGATCAAGTCAATTGCCTCAGGAAATAAATAAGAGAATAGAAGAGACATCTCATGCAAAAGAAAGTGTTTTCAAATATCTGAATTGCTCTCAAAACTCAAACTAATAAAGATTCCTCAAGGTTTGTATTAAAATGCAACCAAAAAGGGAATATATTATGATTTTTTTTAAAGAACTTGTTTCTATAAACAAGATATTTGCTTAGTTTCCCCAAACATACCTCCTTAAAGCACGGCGATGGATTTCTGATTTGTTCAAGCATTGCCCACTTGACTGTTGCCTGTCGAATATTTCCATCATACTCTCTGGAACTCTGGGTACCACTCGGAGTGCCCCTTGATCGTTCATAACCCGGTTCATTAAAATATGGTTCTGCTACTAATATTAGCGACTGGACAGACACTAACACCTGTTAAAAGAAAAAAAAATAGCAATGCTACTTGCTTGTTCTTACAAATATTTATCATTTTATTTACATTTTATAGAAATTTATTTACATTTTATAGAAACTTACCTTAGGTATGTTTAAACTATTTAGCTTCAGATTTTACATATAACACTTTCCGAGTATTATCTGGTATTAAAACACCAGTAATTTTCTTGAGTTAGAAAAATGTTTTCATTACTATATCAACAAATCATACAGTTATAAGGATATACTAATTTTCCCCTCACAATTTTTATATAAGGCATATTTGGGAATAGATATGTCTATATATACATACAAGGCATTTAACCATATGTCCTAGTAAAAGTCTTAATATCGAACAATATCATTACACAGATATATAGCATATTTAGGAAACCAAATGTATTGCATATTTGTGATTTGATGTCTTGCTTTCATTTTTCTAATGTTAGAATATATGGCCCTGCCAATTTTTCTTGTACATATCTTGTAAAGATATGCTAGGTGTCTGAGAAGAGTGTTTTCAGCACCTTGCACAATGAGGTGCAAGACATCCAGGACTCTTCCCTACAAGCAACTCAAAGCTTGGGACCACCTTCAGAATTAGGACCTCTGTGCATCTGGGTCCAGACGTTAACAGTTCCCCTAGGAAGGCGGGCCGCACACAGTTCACATCAGGTAACTATCGTGTCCCTAACAACTGAAGAAACTGGTTCCTCCATAGGGCAGTCCCAGCCGGGGGGCGAGTCTTTGCATAAGAAGGGCTTTCTGGTGGCACTCTCTCTTGCGGCAGTGCCAGCCTAAAAAGCCCCAGAGTCAGTCAAATGACCTCTCAGCCCCACCAGCAGCTCTCACAGTCACATCCCTGCTCCTCTTGGCACCATGATACTTCTTATTTGTCACTGTGCACTGCTCGCCTGAACTCTAGCACTGAGGGGCGATCTGTCCCAGCTGGTCTACGCTCTGCTGTAGGGAGCAAGTGGTTGCTGCTGTGGGAAATGTGAACCAGAATCCTCCCCACTTCGGACTGAAAGGGAAACGTGAGCAAGTTTTCCTGTTTCGCAGTTTTGTAGCAAGTACCGCACGCAGTAGCTGTTACATGGTAGAGTGTGCCCCATCCCAAAACTGTCTCCCTGGCCCAGCATGCCAGGTGGTTGACTGAAAACAGCCATGGCTGGTTTGTGGTCTTCTTGGTGTTCTTCATGTGCCTCACAAATCAGGTCCCAGCAAGAAAGTGATCACTTAGGAAACTAAAATAGCAGAAGATAAATGCACAAAAGCCAAGTTAAGAGTACTTAAGGTACAAGTGCAAAGCTGTTGATATCTGATATCTTGATATCACAGAATGATTGAGGTTGGCAGGGACCTCTAGAGATCAGCTAGTCTAACTCTCCTGCTCCAGCAGGGACACCTGGAGCACGTGGCACAGGGTGGTGTCCAGGCGGGTTTGGAAGATCTCCAGAGATGGAGACTCCACAACCTCTCTGGGCAGCCTGTGCCAGGGCTCTGTCACCCTGGAAGTAGAAAAGTTCTTCCTCACATGGAGGTGGAACTTCCTGTGTTTCAACTTGCACCTGTTACCCCTTGTCCTATCACTGGCCACCACTGAGAAGAGCCTGGCCCCATCCTCCCTACAATCACCCCTCAGGGACTTGAACATGTTGATCAAATCTCCTCTCAGCCTTCTCTTCTCCAGATCTCTTGATATTTGAAGAGCTTTGGTGATCTGTGGCCTTTTCAGAGGTCCAGAAATAGTTTGGTCTGGCTTTTTTTAGTGTTATATTTTAGGTACTAAAGACAGTAAAAAAAAAAAAAAAAGCTATGGTAGAAAAGCTAGATACTGGTGGCATTTTATTTTCTTGGCCTTAGTAAGTAATTGTTGTTTTGGGTGGTCTGACAATAGTTTAGTCTTCGAACCAGGAAAAAAAAAGAAAAATAGTAAGCACTGCTTAATTCTTTCCAAGCAACTGATGTAGTCCTACAGCTGTTTTTCATTTAATAGCTAAAAAGTGTTTTTCTCAGAGTGTGAGGGAACTTTTTCCAACTGCTTTCCTACTATCTTCAAAATGAAACCTAAAAAAAAAAACAACTTAGAAGTTACAAACCTGAGGGCTACATGAGATTTCTAACACTCAAATGTAACATTCTGCATTCCCTGCCACCAACACCCCATGCAAACATTACCAGCAATTGTGCAGATTAAACTAAGACCTGCCTGAAGGAAACGTAACATTAAGCAAAGTAAAAGGAGTTTAGTGAAAATAAGGTTTCCCTTAACCACACCCTTCTACATTAGTTTTTATAGCTATAGTTCAGAATTTCATTTTCTCTGGATTAAACAGTTCAATCCTGGGCAAGTTTAACTTTGCAATTCTTCACTATGCAGAAAACTTCAGCCCAAATGATTTTCATGGAGAGTGGACTTCAGTCTCCAAGGATGGAAACACAACAGTCTCTCTCTCAGGCACCTGTCATAGTGAAAAAAGTCTTTCCTAATAACTTTATCAAAATAAGATCCTGTGTCCCCACTTGTGCCAGTTGGCACTCCTGTTGCTCTGCATGCCCAAGAGGAGCCCAACTCCATTTTCTCTATACCTTTTCCCCCTCAGGTACTGAAGTCACAAGTGAGGTCTCCTCGTGGCCACTGGTCCTGACAGTTTTCCACATACCTTATAATCTACATCTCACAAATCCCTATCTCCTTCTCTACAACGATGCCAGTGGGGACTGCCTCAGAGGCCTTGCTGAAGCCCAGGTAACCGACATCCACTGTTGGCCTCTGTGTAACTCTCTGTCAGCTCGCTGCACGAGGCAGGCGGGTTAGCAGGTACCATCGCTGTGCTAAATCCCCTTTGGCCTTGCTCAGTCACCTGGACCTTCGTGTGCTTGGAAATAGCTTCCGGGAAGATGTGCTCCGTAATCTTCCCGGAAGCTCAAATGAAGCCGGCTAGTCTTGCTCCTCCTTGTTTCTTCCCCTTCTTATTCCTCTTTATTCCCCTTGGCACTTTCACCACCAGGTCAGCTTTGGGTTTCTTCATTCCTCCTCACCCCCGCCCCCCGCATGCTTGGGTAAGGTTTTCATATTCCTTCCTTAAGGTCGCCCCTCTTCCATCTTCCGTGCACTGTCTTTATGCCGTTGAGCTGGGGCAGGAGTTAGTTACCTGTGGAGCCATGCTGACCTTCTGCTGCTCTTGCTTGACTTCCCTGCACTGCAATGGATCATTCTGATACTTCCAGGAGATTGATCCAAGGCCATTATGCCATTTGGGACACTCTCCCAGGGGACCCTGCTAAGCTGAAAGCTGTTCTGAAGACCAGAGTGCAAGTCTACCATGCTGAAATGGAAACTGTACAGTCTTTTTGGACCTGGAACAGAAAACCTATTCTGTGCTATTAAATAATTGCTCCCAGGAAAAGAGAAATTGAGGAAATGCTGTAGGAACCCAAACAGGCCATTGCAAACTTGCTTAATCTATGTATGTGCTTAGTTCTCAATATGTTTCTGTGATGTAAAGCTGAAAATTACAAAGACTGCTTATTCAGTTATAACCTGGCATGTCCCAACAAGTTTTTAGTTAATTTAATACGAACTGTAATAGAAGATATTGCAGTTATATTTTACCTCTCTTCAGTTGAATTCATATCCTTAGTTTCCTTGAAGGCTTTGGAAGGGTACCTTTACAGTTCTCACAACTGTACCTCATATTTTTTTCTGTCACAGTTTGGAGACTGCATTGCCATCACCATAAATATCCTATGATATAAACACTACCTGAGTTCCAGGAGCTGAGGCCATCTTCCAGTTTTGTGTTTTATTTTTTTAAAACCAAGCAAGTACAGGAATGAACTGCATACACACAAGACGGACAGGAACACTGCTCGGAAGGGACACTGTGAAGAACCTGGCTACCCTCGTGTTTCTTTTGCAAGGAAGAATGATTACATGCAGATTCTGTGGTGGCTCCTGGTGTTCATGGTTATCCAATGATCTTGCAAGCAAATTAAGGAAGCTTTCAGAGCTGCAAAATACTACTCTACTCTTGGGCTATGGCTCACTATATATATATGATCTCCAGACTGGATTTCTAAAATTCACATCCGTAAGTGCACCAAAGCGAGGACTGGCATTAAATGCAGGATATCAGCTTTTTCACTAAACAGTTTTGAGCATCTCAAAGCCACTGCTTCCTCAGCTGGTTGACATGAAGTCCAACTTCAGCATATCTACCCAAATCAAAGCTGGCGAGTCACAGCTCAGCGAACACTCAAAGCTAGTGCAAGACAGCGCTGTCCTCCGTCCCCAGCTCTAAAGCCACCTCTGTCACTTCCCAGAGAGCCTCTTTCCTTTTGGCACCAGCACAAGGAATCATCATCAAAAATAGAGAAGGAAAGAACTGTCTCTAGACCACTCTAGTTGTAGACTGGGGAACCAAGATGTATGAAATGGGAATAAGCACTAGATTAAATATTGTCAGAGTTGTACAGAAACTGGATTTGTTTGAATACGCTATGCAATTGTGCAGACTTGTAGAGCTCTACTAATTCAGGAGTCATTTCAAGCATCTCAGTTAAGACTATTTTGAAATATGCAGAATCTTTGCAGGATTTTCAGAACATTTCAACTTTTCTGAAACATGCTCTAGTATAAGAATTTGTTACTCAGTCTCTTAAGAAAGCAACCTGGGGTTTAAGATCAAATATTTGTAACAAAAATAATTTATTAGGTGGCTGAGATATTAGAGAAAGTAATTTGCATCAAGAACATTCTGAAGCTGTTATTGCCTGTGAAAAGCCTCTTAAATTGGCACTATACTTTACTTTGCACTCATTTCCAAATGCTAATTATATGGCCCTACAGAAAATTATACTACCCAGCAACAGTGAAAATGGAGAGTTCCTCCCCCAGAATTTCTTCTTTTAATTGGAAGTTACTAGTTAAAGCATAAAAACCTAAATCTATTTGCAAGGCTTTTTTCACACACTGTACTGCTATCTCACTGTAGCCACAAGCCACCCTTCTTTATTAGAGCATTCACTCACAGCTGTTCTTAAAAAGTTTTTTATGAACAGCTCAGAATGCCTTTATTATACTCAAAATGATACAACAGACTGAAAACCAAAGAGTGAAGAAATTATATTAAATGACTGAAAGTAGCTAGCTGACTTTGAGTATGTTTATAAAACAAAAATACCACCTGGATTTTTTTCTTTGCAAGAAAATTTCCCTGGCCCTTTAGGGGAAAAAGTACATACATATATATATATCTATATCTATATGTGTGTGTGTGTGTGTGTATATATACATACACATATATAAAAAAAAGCTGAAGTTCTAGATTTCTCTGTGTAACAAACAGCATCGCTTCATGTGACAGCTATGTCAATCAAACAAGTAAGCAAGTAAGTGCTGTTGAAGGATAATATGCTAACTCTCACCTGTTCTTTTTTTGCTACTAAATTGGTATGTTCCCATAATGACACAAATGGCCAAAATTAACACTATGTAACAATTTCAAGATTTGAGGTTACCTGGAGTGGCTCATCGCACATCACAAAGGCAGAAAACACAGCACTACCAAAGAAACCAATTTGTTCACCAACTAGTGAACACAGATCTTGCCTACAGAATCTCAGCTGGCACAAAACTTCTCATAAACTTAAAGAAACTGCTAATAGCAGATCTTATAAATAATATTTGGGAACCTCTTTTTTCCAGTGTGGAAATTTCTTGTTCTAGTAATATATACAGGGAAGCCTGGAAGTACCTCTTAAACGTGCTTTTCTGCAATCAAAAGCTCATTGTTAAGGATCAAGTTAATGCTCCAATTTAGAAAAGACTTGACATTAGGGAACAGTTAACAACAGAAGGAAGGGAAGGTGAAAAGGACAGTTTTCAGTAACAATTTTTGACCATCAGTGACATGTTTGATTTGCAGGAAAAGTCTGCTGCTTCACTTAAAGACCTCACAAGAACTTTTGAAGTTTAAGTACTGCTGCTGTGACTCTAGCACCGAACTATACAATGCTATACAATCCCGTACAACGCACATGGCCTCACAGCCAACCTCACTGCAGCCTTCAGAAGCGCTTTCTTAGCATTGGCTTTATTAAAATTGTTGTTTACGAAAGCAAGCTCTTGACACAACCAAACAGGATTTCTGCAAAACTGAAGCCTACACATCTATAGAAATGCTATGATAAGATAAACCTAAATAAACCTTTCTTGGCTACGGTGGCGTGCCCCACGAGTTAGAAACCTACAACCACCACCAAAATCACTTGCATTGCAGGATGGCCGTCTTCAGTAACTTTGTGTTTTGGTATGTTTCAGTACAACTGTAGACGGCAATACATTAGCACACTAAGAACTACATAAAAATGGTCTGCAAAATTACTTAGAAATTTCTTATTCTGTATAAGCAAGAACTAGAGGGACATTTAACCATCAGTCACGAGAACTGAGCCGCGAGAGCGTGTGCGCGGACGTGCAGGAGCCAGCCCGTGAGACGGCGAGAACGCTGCTCTGAGGGCACTTCAGGCTAACGCAGCCTCCAAAACACGCACCATGGTTAGACCATTTTACAACACGCTTTTATCCTATAGAGCGCAAGTGTATGTGTTTGTTTGTAGGATCAGCGTATAGTCTTAGTCATTTTGACCCATGTAAGGAAAACACTTTTATGAAAGTATTGAGAAAGCTGAGAAACTTCTTGCATTCAAGCCATGATTTCCCTGTTCTGAGCCTCAGTAGGGATAAATCTCCACATTTACAAAAGCACTGAAGTTTAAATTTTTATTTTTAAATTGTTCTAAGGTGAGCTTCATATACCTGAAGTAGCTTTTCTCAACTTTACAGCAAAATAATCATTTGCAGGTACAAGAGAGCGAACAAGGTCATGCTCTGGCAATTTTGTATACTGTGAGTTTTCAGTCTGAGTTCTGGCAAATCCAAGACTTATCTATTCTGATTGCAGCTGCTAAATATAACTGCCTAGACATAAGTAAATCAAGATTATCGCATTCTCTCACAGCTGCTGATACAATGAAAGGATGTTTACACATGGAAGAAAAAAAGTCTGTCTCACCAAGGAATGACTCGATGCTGCACGTTCACAACATATTAATTTCATCCTTGCAACAACAACACATTTAAACTGACAGCCAACTGTTAGGAACTTCCCCGCAGCTCCTCGACTGTTCTTTGAAGGACTAGAACTTCTGCTCGCACTTGTGAACCTGATGCAAGTTTGTGTGGCTGGGTTGTGGATTCTCTGCGCATCATGCTGATGTGGTGGGCTTTTTGTATCCTAAATAGCATAACTCACTAGCATAGCTTCTGGATCAAACCTTGCTTGTTGACTTGGAATATAGGTGCACCAAGCTCAAATCTGCTTGCAAAATACTGCAGAGATAACTTTACATCAATCTATTACTAGTGACAAAACAGAAAGGTTACATTAGGCCATTTTCTGGATATTTGTTTTATTTATGCTTATTTGAGGGGAAAAAAAAATCTAAAAACAATGCACTACCAAGAAAGTGTTAGGACAGACTAACCGCTTATTACTCCTAAATTATATCAATTGAAGAGAAAGTAGCTCACCTGCAAAAAACTGGATGTCTGGGGATTCCACTTCTCTTCTGGCCTTCCATGCCATGTGTTAAGTATGCTTAAACATACCTGGAGGAAAGGTGACATTAACACCAAGACAAAAGTTACAATAATTTACTCTACTTGGGTCGAGCAAATAATATTGCATTCCAAAAGGAAAAACATATATATATATTTAAACTCTAATTTGAAACAAAAATAATGTGGATAAAGAAGAATAGCCTGCCAATAAATGAGCAGAACAAGGTACATTACATTTCTTTAAGGAAAAAAGTATAAATTCCAGACATGCTTATCATCGTTTTCAAAATAATCATGACACGGGTGGCTTCTGGTCACATAGTCTATCAAGGAATTATAAATAGCCTTAACTCTTATGGCTGATCTGGACTTTTGTGGTAAAGTCAGTGGCGTTCCTGAACCTTATTATGAAATGGAGTATAACGAGGCACAATTAACAGAAAAGACGTGGAGGGCAGAGTATTCACTGAGACTTAATGCTAGGCACGGAAAAAGGGGAGAATCTTCAGTCTGGGTTGCATTCTGTGTCCGTTATTAATGGAAAATCCTGGGCCTAATACTGGAAGGCAGCACCAGATCTGCTGAAAACAGCAAGCGTGTCAGTCTATGGCTTACATTTTTATAGTAAAAAAAGGGATGCTTTTATGATATTCTTATCTAAGAGTGTTGCAAAACTCAGTTTTTGGATCTAGGCTTCAGTGGAGACATACACAGCCATGTCTAGAGCCCTATAGAGAATTTCATATGTACCTATAGGTGAAGACAAGTTCTATCAATTTCATTTTCCTACCATAAAACAAAAGCAGGGTAACAGAAAAAAAAATCTTTATCTAAAATTTATATCTATATGCAAGAATAAAGTCCACATACCTTGCCGTCATTGTAGAGGTTTGGATTAAATCTGACGCTGTGTCCTCCAGTTGTTTCCAGATTCACAAGTGGAGGGGAATTAGGATAGTCTTGTGGAAAATATACATCAAATTCAAAGCAACCATTTGCATAAGGGGTATCTGCTGGACCAGTAATTAGAACCTACCATTGTAAAAAAAAAAAGCGTTTTCAGAAAAAAAAAAAGCCAAAAAAAAAAATCAAGATTTTGATATTTTTCACATTACATTTTATTTTTGCAGGTTGACTATCACAAAATACCATTAGACATCATGATCCTAAGCAGTTTGTTCACTTCAAGCCAGAACTCTTAGAAACTACATAAACTAACTCTTTTATAAGTTAAGAGACAGCAATTGAAGTACAAATGAAACACTTTCTATTTTTCTTACAACTCAGAGCACTTCCTTAAGCATTTATATGCCAAGCTCAAAGAGCAAAAATCAAAAATAATTTTGCTTTTTACCTTCATAATGTCAAGCCGCTCCTCATCGCAGCGTACAAAGACGCTGGATGAGGAGGAGAGAGGCAGCGATGTTGAGAGAGTCACAGCTTCTTGAGCAAGACGTCGAGCTCGGGCAGCACTGTTGGCGTCACTTGCATTTTTCACCTGAGACATGTAGTGGTAATTCACTTTAAAAACCAATTTGCCATCATCGTCTTCAGAAACCATTTCAAACGTATCTAGAACAGAAGGAAATTCCATTGCATCAGGAAAAGAAAGTGAAGTTGTTAATGGATTTGTTTTGGACAAAGATTTTTGAGTACCGAAATCAGGAATGTTTATTTGCATCACTAAAAAAATGCATGTACTTGTGAGTTAACAGTAAACACAGAAAACAAAGTATTAATTGCCCTGGGTGAAATTAAGTCCTGCAGAAGAAATTTAGAAGCTTTCATATGCAGCGTGTCCGTTGTAGACTACTACCGATTTGTAAAGCTGCTGGCTACTCCATGCAATGGAATCAGTGGGAAGCCAAGAGTCTTTAATTGTGCAGTGGTTGCAATATTAATAAAGGATCATAAAAGATTACAGAGACTGATTTTTTTAATTGTTAAACAAAATCTGTAGCTTGGCTGCCAGCGTGAAAAGTTATCACTACAAACTTTCCTATCAGTTCTTCCTTTCCTTTCATGTTTGTGTAGAAAATCCTTTTCAAATGTTCACAAAAGCAAATAAATGTGATTGCAAATGCTATCAATACAATTCAAAAATATTCATGAAACGTGTTTTTGTAGTATTTTTATATCTCTATTTAGATGATATATAATTTTTTCTTTCTAAGTTTTGAACATTTCTTTTTTGACAAAGTACTCATTCCCACTGCATTTTACAAATGCAATATATTGCACTCCCTGAGAGGGCAGAATGAAGTTTACTGCAGCTTCATTTTCATAAAAAATGCATTTTCATCTGAATTCCATTCTATTTAAAAAGTTGCATTTTTAACAAACATCTACGCAATTTTGCGTAGAAGCTTTCTAAAAGAAAATCTACTAACTTTAGTAATACAATTATTTGAAGACAAAATCTCACAAATCGTTACTGGAATGAAAACATGAACCCTACCCACTGAATCGTCTAACTCGTCCCTTCATTGGATCTAGTGCATGCTTAATACATTTCATATTAGTCAATGACCACAAATTAGTTGGTGACAGATGGAAAGAAAAACAGACTTGGTAATTTTATAGGTAACAGAAAAACAAAACAAAAAATCAATAGTCACATATGTATAAAAGTTAATGATTTCTTAAAATAATCTGGGGCTCATTTTAACTGATTTTCTATTTCTTTGGTATCTGCTTTCTATTACAAATATTCATAGTTCTCAACCTACCAAACTGGAGTTTTTTCATGACAGCCACATACTTTTCTTCAAGAGACCGTAAAACAGACAAAGGCTTGGGCTTCACAGCAACTTTTTTGGAGTATTCAGCCATCTTCTTTTCTATTATAAAAAAATGTGCTAATTATTTGTAATTGTACTGTAATTAATAATTTTTTCATACAAGTACACCAAACACCTGGTGGTTATTTAACTTGCAATGATGTTTTACATTTGTATTGCTTACAGAGAACTCAGAAAACTGGGTTCATTCATAATATACAATTGTGCTTTTCTTACTACTGTGCATTTTGTTATCTGGACATTGTTCTTACTGTTAATATATTTCACTATCTGAACATCTCAAAGTACATAAATATAGCAGCTCACAAATAAGTCATGACTACTGCTGCAGTGAAAGGTCAGTTATTGTTCATTCTAATGCTGTTTAAATAAATCTGACATATGCTTCTTGTGTGGGTCAATACTCCCATAAGCTTTCCTGATGCACTCTCCAAAATCAGTAGCTTATTATACACTCCTTCATAAAACCCACTTCACTGATTAAGCTATTTAATCCCTGGTTTTCTTTACTAGACAACCAGATAGGCATTCTAAGGGCTGCAGGTTCACTCCATGATTTCTATTTTTGGTCTGAGTTTGGTTAAAAGTTAATCCAGGTCGCAAGATGTAATTTTAACAACAAAGCTTTATCACTGATGGTTCAATATCCCTTTTTTTTGTTTGTTTGTTTGCAAAAGACAAGATACAAAAGACAAAATTGTGATGAAGGTGCAGGATATACTTTAACTTACTACGTTAACTTACTAACTACTAACTTATCTTTATCCTGACGTAGATTTTAGGGAGAGTAACATGACCTTCCACATGCCTTTGAATCTACCAATCAGTAGGGGGGACAGTTGAGAAGCGTTTTTTTCCCTTGCCTTTAAGCCATTTTTAAAGTTTTTTGTTAATGAACAAGTTACAAAGAACCATTACATAGCATTTATAAAAGTCTATCTACATTACCTTGGTTTGCTTGGCGCAAGCTGGTGGTAGCAGCATAAACTATCTCAGCAGTCTTCTGGATGTCTGGTACCAAAAGTGTCAGTCCCTCTGGTTCTTGATCAGAAGCATCTGGCTTGACTCCTGCTTTTGCTTTGTCTTTTTTAGACCTGTTTTTTGGGGGAGGCATAGAAATAGGATCTTGCATGAGGAGAATATTGTGCAACAGATCAGACAGTACTCAGCAAGTTAGCAAGGGAAAACATCAAAGATTAAAGACCAAGATTAAAGCAAATCTTCTGAAATATAGGGTCTCTAAGTGTCTCCAGGTTAATTACTTCATCAAACAAAAAAACTGTGTCCATATTCAGCATACAGTCTTGATTTGACCAACAGAAGATATGAAGAGAAAGAATACGAACACAAATAGTAAAATTAATATACTGATTCGTTGCTTCAACAATTTAGCATGTCAATTACTATTATGTCACCTGCTTTGCTTTTCTGCACATTGTGAAAAAGCAATTGGGGAAAAGTTACAAAAATCAGTATAACAAAGAAATGATCAGTGTGCACTTCATTCTCCAAAAATCAAATAAAAAGACTTCTATAATATATTCTATGTTTATAACCAGTCTATTACAAATTAAAACATAAACATAATTACCGCAAAATTTCATAATGAAATTGTTTTAAAATACAGCATATAACAATAGTGCTGTTTTAGGTCAGCTAGTTGCCTAGTGCATTAAGACAGGTAAATATTTTGATTATGGTGTCTCGGTCTTTATCAGTATATACATGAAACGAAAATATTGTATTTGATAATAGCAAACCATAAATACCCATGCCAGCAAAACTTAGTTTTGCTTAAATAGCTATCACAGATTTATATTGTTATCCAGCAAAATTAAGAGATTTTAAAGTCCAAAAACAATTTCCCTAAAATTTCCTCAAGGTTTTTGTTTTAAGATTGAAACATGATAAATAGCCAAGAAGCACTAGTTCTCTCTTTCTTGCTGCCACCTACCAAAGCAAGGGAAGAAGCTATTTTTGCAAGAAGAAATTAGCAATTTAATGCCTTGGTGTTCCAAACGCCTGTGTTTTAGCAGCTCCAAACACTGTACTTGAAACTAGACTGAAGCCATGCATAAACAACGAGCCCCTAAAGTATTCAACACGGGCGATTATGGTGAGACTGAAAGTCTCTGTATTGTACCCAATCTAATGAAAATTTCCCTAGAGCACATTAGCAACAAAATTCATTCCTGCAGCATGGTATATTTTCCCTGTTCCGGATTTGGTCCAAAAGGGTATGTGCCCACTGTTGACTGAGCAATGCTCAGCTTTCAGGTCTTCTAAAGGAGGCAAGTAGCAAGGCCAGGAGATGTATTTTAAGAGGCAGAAGTAGAATCTATAATCCATATGAATATTTTCCAGTACATTTTCCCTATTTTAAGAAAACATGTAAACATCTCTACAGTTCTTTCCTCCCAGATTCTGTGTGTGAAGGGAGACAACCAGTTATTATACAGAGGACAAACCTGATCATGTACCTAGGCCTTATATTTTTTTTTAAATGGAGAAAGAGCCAAATATTTGATTTAGATTCAGAAACTTCCACTTGCAGTTCAGGCAAACTCACGCCAGCTCATATTTAAAGGAATGACAGTCACTAATATATTTGCTAGAAGAAAGAGCAGAGTACATGCTAATAATTTAAACTGTTAATTTAGCTTGTGCTGGAAGATGACAGGGTTCCTTTCACACTGTGCTAAATGAATAATGAATGATATCCTCCTAAGGCAACTTTAATTTTTAAAGCCAATACTGATACTTACTCACCCATGCCTGGTACTTCAGAGGTAAATTTGATGATATGGAAGACACATTTATCAAAGCAATCACAAAATAAAGCCTATGAGCCATTCAGCCCTGCTGTCCTACAAACATTCTACTTGTAAAGGAACTGCATCCAGTTCTGTAGCATTTTGCATCCAGTTCTGTAGCATTTGTGATCAAAAATGATCATTTTGTGGGGATAAGACCCCACAGCTCGACAACCTTTGCACTGTTCAACCCTAATGGCCTCCCACTTTGTGTGCGTTTCCGCAAGCAACGAACAGAAGCCCGTTCACCTCCAGAAAATCACAGGTTATTACACTGTCCTCTTGAAATGCAGGGGAAATGAGCACCATGAATAAGTCTTTAAAAAAAAACAAAAGTAAACCAAAACAAACAAACCCCAAAACACAGCTGAAAGCAAGCGACCTCCATAAGCTCCTCCTGGGCGCACATTTCCAGGCAGCCAAACTGGAGCTCTGCAGACCAAGACCGCGGGGCGGCCTTCTGCAGCCGCGCGTCAGCTCCAACACCAACCCGGGAGCGCGTTAACGGACCTCCTTTTGTTTTCAAGTTTTGGAACCCAATTACAAAGACAATTGTAGTTTGCAGACTGCACTGTTTCCCTTTGCAGTTCTCAAAACAACATTAATGACAATAAAAAAAGTTTAGCAGGGAAAATGCCTCCGGCATCCTTGAATGTATTCCCCACACAACAGAAAAGCATCCAGAGAAGCGTCCTGGGACAGCACGTGTTGTACAGAGCCTGAAACAGCCCGGCAACCTTGGAACTGTGCTGGGCTAACCTGCAGGAGCAGCGTGACGGGCACCGTAAGTGTGAAGCATTTGGATCTCCTGAAGCAGGTATTACCTGCGCCATGAGGAAATCCAGCTGGAGTTTTGAAACCATCTCGGAATAGATTTTTATTATCTTTGAAAAGAAACTTATTTTGTGACTGTGCAGAAAACAGTTTTACTCCATTATCAAATTTAAGAATTTGCCGTGGAGTTCACGTAGTAGACGGCAGTTCAGATGAGCCTGTGTTGCTGCACAGCACAGAGCAAAGCCAGATCTCTACAGCAAAGGGCAGAGCAGTCACAACAACCAAATGTCTTAAAACCCAGCCCTGATGGTGACCCTTTCTACAAGCCTGACCCCTAAAATTAGTGATAGATTTTGAATCTATCAAAAACAAAACAAAACAGGAAAGTTTATTGCCTTCCTAAATGTCTTCTTCATTATCCAGAAGTTTCTTGATTTTTCAATAAAATATTACAGGATTTGAAAGTAAATGAAATCAAATGCTTGCCAGAACCTAAAACCAAATGGTCCCTCCTTAAATTCTGGATCCAAGTGGACAGCCTTGCTCCACCACAGAGATGGCAATGCCTAGACATGCAAGTAGAACCGTTCAAATAAAAGTTTTCTCTTTGAAAGCAGATCCCATGCCTACGTTGTTCTCCTGGCATAAAACCTAAAAAGGACAGCAGATGGTCCCCTTTAAGCAACTCATTCCAACTCCTGCTTATATTGATGGCCAACCTTCATAACTTAATGAGTCCAGGCTGTCTATACCTTGTGTCTATACATTGGCTTTAAAGGCAAACTGCACTATGCTTAAACCATACAGAGGAAAACAGGGTTTTTGTGCTGCCATAACAAAACAAGAAACCTGTACTGAGAACCCAGCCAAATCAACTGGGAAGCATTTATTAAAATAATCGTCTAATACTGATTGTACCTAAAGAAGGAGCACAGAAGGATATGCAAGAGAGTTTGGGAATATTTCCGGTAAAAACTGACAACTATTTGCCATGACCCTCTCCAATCCCATTCCTTGCAGGACCACATTAAGAGCTTCCCAGGAACAGTCCTTCCGACGGCAGGAAACGCACAGTCCTGCAAGCAACAGAAACACCTCATTGCGGGGAGGGGGGCAGAAATTTAAGAAAATGATTTAAAGTGCCCAGATTTTTGAGCAGCACTCCTCTGCTGAGCAGTTTCAGATGAAGTGACAGAGAGTATCCATACCCAGCAGCCTGTGATATAAAAATAAATCCTAAAAATATGGTATAATACAACAGAATATATGCATACTAAACACAAGCTATACTCACGCTACAATGCAGCACCAATCCAGACAGAGACGCATATCTGCGTCTTCTTTCACCTCTACATTTTTAACACGTGCACAAAATACATTTTACAGAAGTGTTAGGGATGATCAAATTCATTACCTCAGCCGGTTGGTGTAGGTGTCTACACAGGTCTTCATTTTAGCCAGCAAAGTCCCCACGGAAGCTTGTGATTCCAAGTGCTCTTCGTCCTCGTCACTGTTTTCTCCAGACAGAGGAAGCAGGAGTGGCACCATAGACGTGCAAGATGCAATAGCACGGAGCAGTTCCAGCAGGGCTCGATAGAGGGGAACGTGCCGGGCCATATCCAGAACTAGAAAAACAGTTTATAAAAATCAGCAAAACCAAAAAGGACTTCCAGTCTTATTCCAGGCACCTTCAATAAAAATGGAGATTTCTATAATTAATAAAATAAGAAATATATTTGATCATAAAATGCTGTATTGTATATTAACAATTTATAATTTATGCTTTAATTCACTGTGAGTGAATTAATGAAGTCCAGAATAAACTGGATGAGATTCCTGAAAAACAAAAGCTATAAAAAGAAATAAACAAACAAAAAACACCACAAAAGAATTCAAGGCAAAGTGCTAGCAAGTAGGTAGTTGCATTACCACATTATACATTGGTTCACAATCCTGGCTCAAGCTGAATGTTGGCAGAAACTGCAAACAAGTATTTATGGGGAAAAACGCTAACTTTCAGAAGACAGACAGACAGGTCAACTATATGGCACGGCAGGGTTGCATTTGCCAGTTCTAATGGCAGAAACATTAACAAGCAAAGACTTAAACGAAACCACCCACTTCATATATAGCTGTCCTCTCCTTTGGAAAAGACGGTCTATATTATTGCAGGAATATTTGTGGTCATTAAATAAATGTCGTTATCTACTAAGCAATTTAGCTTTCTGCCTTTTCTTGGACAAGGTTAGCAACACTTTAAATCCCACTGAAAAACCGCAGGCAGAGGCTCTGAATGCACCGATTCCACCTGCCTGCGCCCACCTCAGGAAGCAGCGAAGCAGCGCGCGGAGCCGCTGGCCCAGGCCCGGGCCTGGTGTCGCCCAGCGCGACGGGAGCGACCGTGGGGAGAGCACGGATACCAGCTCCTCCGGCCGGGAAACAAGGCGGAAGAATTCCGCACCATCCCGGCATATTCTCTGTCACCGCGCTGCTTATTTTTCTCCTCCACTTGTTTGGGTCAAGCATGTAACGCATGTCATTTTCGACTGACTTTATGCCATTACAGAAATCCTGAAAATGCAGCAATACACAGATACTTTCACACAGCTGTTTCCCCTGGCCCTGGGACATACTATTTTTAACCTCACTGCGAGGAAAAAAAAAAAAAAAGCTCTACTTGAAAGTATTTACAAATGACTGAGTTTATGATAAATATGTTTCTGCTTTTTCCAGCAAAAATTAACTGACAACTCACATTAGGCCAGAATGAAGCATGGAAGAACACTTTAATGTTTCATTTAGCACATCTGACCCTCCAAGCTAAAGCACATTACAAACTTTCATCTCCCATTACCAATCCCTTGGCTCTAAATACAGCAGGATGGGACGATGCACGCACCCAACCAAAAGTGAACAAAGTAAGCAAATTTATCCGTGCTTAAAGCTGGATTTTCCTCTATAAGGAGCTCTTGATTCAACAGCTTCCCATTCATATTTTGAAACTCTTACGACGGCACCAGCTCAGACCTGGGAAGAGCTTTGCTGTGTTGAACACAGAGACCACCTTACTGAAACCCAGCATGGGTCTGTGATGTCTGGCATCACGGTTCCAAAAATACCTCGTGGCAAATTATTCTGTGTGTTTACAGCGAACCCCACTTTGAATGGAAACGTGGGTACCTAAGAACCACAGCAGGGCTTGGAGGGACCTCTGGAGACCACCCAGTCCCAGGCTCAGGCAGGTCACCTAGAGCTCGTGCCACAGGCAGCTTCGGGGCATCTCCAGAGGAGGAGGCTGCACCGCCTCTGCGGAGAGCACGTTCCTGTGCCCGTCAGCCTCACAGCCAAGAAGTTGCTCCTTCTGTTCAGACAGACCTGCCTGTGCTTCAGTTTGTGCCTGTTGCCTCCCTCCTATCACTGTCAACACCAGGAGGAGTCTGGTCCCATCCTCCGTATCCCCTCCCTCGAGATACTCGAACACATTAGTGATACCCCACTGTGTCTTCTCCTCTCCAGGCTGAGGAGTCCCAGCTCTCCCAGCCTCCCCTCACATTATCTGTCATTTTGTTCATTCCGTTTTATTTTATTTGCCAGTTTTCAAGCATATTTTGGTACTCCTTCCATATGTTCAACATCTATTTCCCAGTGAACAAGGATCGCCCAGGGAAAAATCCCCACGCTGCGCAGAACTGCCTGGGAAGGCGGAGGAGCAGGTCTGATAAGGCCCCAAGCGCTGGGGCAGCCGGACTCCCGCGAGCTCCGCAAGGACCCGGATAACAGGGCGGAGAGGAGGGAAAGGGGGACGCGGCTCTGCCCGCGGGCAGCACGGCAGGGCAGGGACGGCCTCCTGCACAACCGCAGCCACCGAGCACCTGGGAAGCCTCCCGGGCTCGTTCTGGTTTTCCTAAATACGCCGGTAACATTTTCATGAGGCCAGAAGAGATCATTCCAATCCGCACAAAACTTGCTGGCTTTCTCCTTTGCTCAACAGACAGTTAAATTCCAAATTAATTGTTTCGAGGGAGGCGGAACTGACAACTTTAAAACTGACTTTTTTTTTTCTTTATTCAATAAAAGATTTTCCAGTTTTTAGCTGAATTAACCAGCTTAGGTTGCTTTTCATTTATTTCATATGGGAACAACTGCAATTGTTCATTTTGTTGTAATTTAAACAACCTACTTTTAGGGAACAAATACTGATTGCTTTAATGCTTTGTCATTGTTTTTAAAATACAGCATTCTACATTCGGATTCACTTCCTTGATACGGTTATGCAGCTTCTATTACTTTGCTCCAAGGCTTTTACGAGAGTTATTAAGGATTATGATCCATGCAATCCGCTCTAAAGCAAACAAAAAGAGAGGAAGAAACTTGTATCTTATTTTATATGACTGAATATGTGGGTATAAGAATCAGAAAACTTGCTGTAGAGAATTCTAAATTAGCAAACTATTCTTTAAGACCTCTGCTTGGTAGCTCATCTATTCCTTGTGAATACCTTCAATTTTAATATAAAGAGAATGGCACCATGATAAACCACCATGCAGCTACTTGGGGAGGCACAGCAATATTATAAATGACACAGATTTGTGAAAGAAGTTGCTTAGATTTTTGTAATGAAGTCCTTTGAAAACATCTAAAAAAAAATCCTAGAAACATGCAGGAAAATATAAAATAGAGACCTGTAAATTGATGAATTAAAGAATCTTATTTCCATCAGACAGCAGGTACAGAAGCTTTGGACAATCATCCTTAAATAAAAGTATCTTATATGAGCTAAGATACAACCAATTTTAAGCAAATACAAAAACTAAATAGAAAGAGATACTTTTGCTACAGAGAAGCTATAATTTGGGTAGTATTAGCACATCCTTACAGCGTCGAAGTATTATTTTTATACGGATACTTTGGTTTTATGAGATGGTACTAAGAACATTTGATTTATGTGGGCATGCACATGAGCACGCCCAACTCCAAATGCACAGCGTTCCGAAGAAAACGGAGACAGAGATGAAAATTCTTGGCTTTGCCCTAAGTGACAGACGGACTCGTTATCCCGAGTCAGAACGTGTTTCTAAGTAAGGAATGGACACGTCTTCTGTCCAGCTGCCTCCGGGCGGGCTCTCCACCGCGCACGGAGCAGAGCGGGAGGGCCCTGCCTCCAGCCTCCAGCCTCCGGCCTCCAGCCTCCAGGGCCAGGACGGGGCAGCGGGGACGGCTCCAGCCCTCCCTCCCGCTTCCAGCGCAGGCCGAGTTCCACTGGAATCGGTCCTGCTGTTTGCCAGCTCTGCACGCTCGAGCCTAAAAACATCCTGGGTGGAGAGGGAGGGGAAAACAACAAGAAACAAAGAAGAAAATTTAAAAAAAGACATTTTACGAAACCAGATCCCCTAGTGCTTGTAAACAGCTCGGGTCGGGGAGGGTGTCGGGAAGAGGAGCCTGACTGCGACAGGGCTCTCGGGAGTCTGGAGTTCCAGGAACCGCGGAGCCTCCAGCCTTTGAAAACTGCCTTCTCGTACAGATGCGCTCATGCCGGTCACGAGATGTTCCGGCATCAAACCACACTCTGGAAAACGTATAGCCACGCTCTGCTTTTCCTGGGGAGCCACCGATCAGCTCAGGTGTTTATTCATCACCAACATAGACCCGTTTCTGCAAGAGACCCGAGATGATCCGTGTGCAATTACACCCTCAGCGCAATGGGAAAGCACATGAGGGGAAGCAGATTAACAGAATCACGATATCACCTTAAACTGCACATATAACAAGGTAATGTCCCAACTCAGACTAATATCTTTTGCTTTCTTTTAATATTCCACAGCATTCAAATGAAGAATAGCAACTCTTAATGGCCCATTAAATAGATAATATTGAATAGCAGTAAAATTTTTTTGCAGTTCATTTAATATCTTCAAGACAAATTAACTGAGTATGAATAAGAATATAAAACTTATTGCCACTGCAAGGTATATATATATTTAAAACATATTACAAAGAATATGAACATTTATTTAGAAATAAAGGAAAATATTCACTTAGCCTAACTGTTATTTCCCCAAATCTTCACACTTTGCACAAAATTAAGAGACAAATCGAGTAAAATGTTTTGTAAAGAATGACAGGTTCCATCCCGCTTTGCTTGCATCTAAAGCAAAGGCATTCTCAGTGATTCATGGTCATCAACCCAGGAATTCCCACCCAAACAGCTTACAATCTGCACGCAAGATGGGATAAAACAGACACCTAAAAAAGGTATTTCAATTTTAAGTAAATTATAGTGCCAGCTGCATAGTCCCCTAGCTTTTGTACTGTGCCAAAGTCTGTACTAGCTGCTTCAATCTGACTCCCACACAGTTTCTCATGTGCTCCACTTGCACCATTTCAGGCCTTTGTCATTTCCTTGAATTTCACTTATTTTGGAGTCCCGTAAAAGCATGGCTTATTCAATCTAGTTTTTACTATGTGCAATTCCTTTGTAATCCAAGCAATATTCATGAACCGCTGTCTTTGTTGGAGGAAAAAACCGTGCGATGGCAGCAGCACCAGAGGGCATCACTGGAAACCCTTGTCAAACGATTGGTATTTGCTCTGCTTCCCCAGCAGAGCTGCCACCACAAGCGTGAGG